GGGGGGGTAGCGTGGCGCCGTGCGGAAGCAGTCGACTTTACCGGTCGGACACGCCGACGAGCAGCGCAGCTTGTTTGTTGTTCATGACGAGTGTCCCTGGGCACTATCCTCCACGTCTACCAGCTAGACGACCCACCCGGGGTCACATAGGAGGGGGGGGTCGGACCCCCTCCCGCGGTTCCTGCCTGAGATTTATCGCGAGAAGGGTACAGCAATCCCTTTCCTCGCGACATATGTAGTCAATCAAGTTTACGAACAACGACCTTTGCAGCGCGTTGCTTCCTACGGAGGCCAGGATTTAATTAGCGAGAAAAAACTCACTCTGTCGGGACTCGAACCCATGACCTGGCCCTTAGCAGGCTGCGAGGCTACCCACTAGACCACCGGGGCGACCGGCTCTGTAGTGTTTTCGGGTGGAGATCGACTGTGGCCGTTTCACACCCCATTCTCTCTGTCGATGTCATTCTTTCTTGCCGTGATTAGCTCCCCCCCCCCAGTACGCCGGAGAAGTATGGGAAGGAAATAAGAAGGTAGTGAAAGAACTCGAGGCGGCGCAGATGAAAGCAGCGAAAACCATCCTAGGATTCTCCAGACGCACAAGTAATGCAGCCGTGAGGGCAGAATTGGGGATCCAATCCCTACGGTCGGGAAGAGACGCGAGGAAGCTGACATTACAGTATCGCATGTGCGGGATGGGAGAGGAGAGGTTGCCGAGAATTGTATGGGAGGCGAAGTGGGCAAACAAAAAGAGGGGTAGACAACCCACGGAATGGGTCAAGGTTGTAGAGGACGTATGGAAGGGGCTCGACATCGACGAAGATGAAACGCTGGAAACGGAGGGTCTACAGGGGTTCAAGGAGAAGATATCTGTTGCTTGTGCCGAGAGAGAAGAACAGAATCTGAGGAAAGAATCCAAGGATAAGGAGGGTCTAGAAGTGTACGGAATGTTGAAGGAAGGAATAGGGTTCAAGGACTACCTACATGGACCAGTGGATGCAGGAACAAAGCTCAAGGGACTGGGGACATAGGCCTTCGAGAACGTCGACGAAGACATAGGACGGTAGA